CCTTTCTCAACTGAAACTAACCCTAATCAATTGGTTTAACCTACTATATCTCTATGTCGATTAAACACAATCGAAAGCATTAAATATTAATGAAAATAACTTGAAGGGTTACCTAGGAGTGGGAGTATATCTCTATTTCCACAAGAACCTAGGGTTTCTACCACCTTAGTCTAAAATGAGCAACAATTTCTCAATAATCACACAAATCACTAGACATTGTCACATAGTGGCCATAATAATGATAATAATGGTAAAAACAGAAGAACATAAGCATTAAACAATGGATAAAGGAATTTATATAGTTAAGCCAAGCTTCCTCATTCATCCCAACACCAAATTATTTAGCCCATTTTGTTTAAAAAATACAAAATGGAGAGATTAAAGAAATACATCACAAAGTTAAGAAAGGATAATAAGAAATACAAGTCAAAATACAATAAACTCATCCCTTGGCAAATCCTTGAAGGTTGCTTAGTGTTGGTCTTGATTCCTTCAAAATTTCCCCCTTTGGTGTAGTATTTCCCTCTCTTTTTTTTCTTGCCTCCCTTTTCTCTTAAAGCTAGGGTTACAAGTGAATGAAGAATAAATGAAAAATGGATCAATTTTGCCTTTTAAATGGCTCAAAAATCATGTTTTGTAATTGTAAAATGATCATTAACTACAAAAATCTAGGTAAACAGGTCCTTAGCCGCGGCGCTCTGAAAATGGCACTGCAGCGCTATAAGGACAGAGTTGCAGTGCGGCGATGCCGCTATAGTGGCGTTGCGATGCCACTGTAGTTCCACATCCCATTTTTAGTATTTGTAGCTCAAGTCCTCCTCATATTTGCACACTAGATCCCTCAATTTTGAACTTGTACATTTTAGTCTTCAAAATTTTAATTTTCTTTCAGTCACGCCCTCCAAAGTTTACAACATTCGGTTAAGGACTTTCGGCACTTATACACTTTGGTCTCCGAATTCATTTTTTGAGCACTTTTGGTCCTCTTTTCCATTCTTTAGCCATTTTCTCCTTTAATTCGGGATTTTGGCCTACAAACACCATAATTACACAGTTATGAATATGAATTCGTTCGATTTCATCAATAAATAGCCCATTAAAATGCCTAATAAGTGTGTAAAAACACACGTATCAGATTCCCCCAAAACTTAAGTTCTTACTCCTCGCGAGCAAAATTTCTCCTAACATAATCATGCAATACTTGTAAAGAACCAACAACGTTAGATCGCCCATCAACACATTCAGGAGTGTAAAATTGTGTAATCAATTCACACCTATGCTTCTGAATCATGCTACCAAATACAATGTGAGCTTGTCCAATGCTTGATTGTGTATATGTGTACATAGTCATATTTAATCATTATCAAAATTAGGAAACAATTATCAAGGCGAAAAAATTTTCAAATTAGCTCCAATCCGACCCTTTGTGGTCAAATGTCTTCCTTTATCTCTCATGAAATTCACACCAAAATATAGCAATTTCATTCTCTTCCCCAAGTGTAAAACTAAAGGTTTCTCTCTAATCACTCATTTCTTTTTCCACTCTAATTTGATTGGGTCTAACCAGCAATATCAATCTCTAGTCATGTGATGATTCTCCACAAATGAGTGCTTCCACATTCAAGTTTATACTAAGCAATTCAAACCCACTAGTTATCAAAGCTCAAATATCAATTACAATTTCATAACAACAATTTTTTTCTTGGGTAGACAAATCCAATGTTTTACCTCTTTCCCTTAAACTTTCTTCTTGACCTTTGTAGCGAGCTTTAGGTCGATAACTCCCCGGTTGTTTAGGCCAAAGGGTACCGGGTTTTAAAATATTCCTACAGACTTAATAACTCAAGTAAAAAAGGCTAAAAAGTGTGGCCCGAGATTCAACAAGTGCAATAATACCTTTTTTTAGCATTAACAAACATGGGGCTTAGATTCCTAGCATATGATCATTACCTAACTTATACTTAGCAAAAGACACTCCACACAAATATTTTCAACATGTGCGGAATCAACACACTTCTAGATAATATCCATCACCAGCTCGACCATCCCCAAACTTATCTCACAATATGATTAAGCGAAAGAGAAGTGAAAATATGATTGACATAAATTTATGTACAGCTCATAACCTAGTTCAAATTCAAAAATTTCTCCATCAATCAACCATTTCCAAATCTAGACAACTAATCGTGACTAGTGTGCTCAAAGTCGTATAATATCTCACATGGACAAGCAAATTTCAAGATCTAGGTAAATAACATGATTGGACATAACTTATGAATTAACAACAATTTTAAACATCACATCAAATCATCAAAAGCCGACAAGGCTATCCAACACATCAATGTTGACACCAATATAAGAACAATATATGAGCACAATATCCCATCAAAACCCCCAAACTTAATTTACTCATTGTCGTTAAAGTGTACAAAAACAAAAAAAAAGTAAAGAGGGTTGACTAAACTTCCCCGATTAGGTTTTTGTTGAAGGTTGTTGTTGATGACTTTTTTGGTCATGGCTTAATGTACACTTCCAAGCTTGTTAAGATTCATGTATAGCTGGGACTTCAAAAATTAGGACCTATAAAAGAATGGTATTAATTCAAAATTTAATAACAAAAGTATTAATCACAAGAATATAAAATGGTTTAAGGATAAGAAAGTTAGGTTGCCTCCTAACAAGTTCTTGGTTATAACCCCTAGCTCGACTATGGGCCTTATTCACTCCAGATTGACAAGAGGGATGGAGGACTGCTCCTTCGAAAAATCACCTCCAAAGTATGGTTTCAACAGTTGCTCGTTAACTTTGAAATTTCCCTTTTATTCATGATGAAGTTTAACCGCTCCATGTGGAAAAATTTTAGCAATATTGAAAGGACCTGATTATCTTGAGCGGAGCTTCTCAAGGAACAATCGGAGTGGAGAATTGTAAAGAAGAACTTGTTTCCTAACAAAGAACTCTCGTTTCACAATGTTTTGGTCATGTCATTTCTTTGTTTTCTCCTTGTAAATTCGAGCAATCTCATATGAATCAAGACAGACCTCATCAAGTTCGTTCAATTGGAGCAATCTTTTCTCGCTGGCCGATTTGACATCAAAATTTAAAGCTTTTATCGCCCAATTAGCCTAGTGCTCAAGTTCTACCGAGAGGTGGCAAGCTTTCCCAAACAATAGGGGATAAGGAGACATACCAATGGGTGTTTTGAAAGTGGTACGGTAAGCCCATAATGCATCATCCAAATTCTTGGACCCATCTTTTCTAGAGGCACCCACCGTCAATTCAATAATCCTCTTTAACTCCCGATTTGAGATCTCAACTTGGCCACTAGTTTGGAGATGATAGGGCGTGGCCACATGATGCTTTACTCCTATTTGATCAATAGTGAGTCGAAGAGGCGATTGCAAAAATGTTTACCTCCATCTCTAATGATAGCTCTAGGGTACCAGAGCAAGAGAAAATAATTTTCTTTAAAAAGTTCACTACCACCTGCGTATCATTAGTGGGCAAAGCCACCGCTTCCACCCACCTTGACATATAATCAACTACCACTAATATGTATTGATTTGAGAATGAAGAAGGAAATGGCCCCATGAAATCAATACCCCACAAATCAAAAATTTCTACCTCCAATATAGAATTCAAAGGCATTTCATTTCGGTTGGAGATATTACCACCATGTTGGCATTCGTTGCACTCGGAGACAAGAGTATGAGCATCTTTGAATAAGGTAGGCCAATCGAAACTGGATTGACGTACCTTTGATGCGGTTTTCACGGCCTCGAGTGACCACCATAGGGAGAGGAATGACATTGTTCAAGAATTTGCTCCATTTCCTCATCCAGTACACATCTCTAAATAATTTGATCCGGGCCCCATTTGAACAATAAAGGATCATCCCGAAAATAGTGCTTGATGTTGGCAAAGAACCTTTTCTTTTGTTGGTAAGAAAGATCCGGTCGAGTGATGCCACTAGCAAGAAAGTTTACATGGTCCGCATACCATGGTGTATGGGTGGCTTGTGGAAGGTGCATAATTTGCAAGAGTTGTTCATCGGGGAACACCTCATTTATCTCTCCATCCACTACCTCTATGGGTTGCTCAAGTCGAGACACATGATCAACAACAACATTTTTGATCCCTTTTTTATCACGAATTTCCAAGTCAAACTCTTGTAGAAGAAGGACCCATTTAATCAATCGAGGCTTGGCATCTTTCTTTGCTAGCAAATACTTAAGGGCCGAGTGGTCAGTGTAAACAATCACTTTCGACCCAATGAGATAAGATCGAAATTTATCAAATGCAAATACCACTGTGAGCATCTCTTTTTTAGTAGTGGCATAGTTCAATTGAGCATCGGTAAAAGTCTTGCTAGCATAGTGGATAACATGCAAAAATTTATCACTCCTTTGCCCCAAAACTGCTCCAACGACATAATCACTTGCATCGCACATAAGCTCAAATGGTAGATTCCAATACGGAGCTACAATGATAAGAGCTGTGATCAGTTTCTATTTAAGAGTGTTGAAAGCATGGAGACACTCTTGAGAAAAATCAAATGGAGTATTCTTCTCTAGTAAGGAGCAAAGTGGCTTTGTGATCTTCGAGAAGTCCTTGATAAACCTCTTACAAAATTCGGCATGTCCCAAAAAACTCCTTAACCCTTTCATTGAGGTAGGTGGAGGTAATTTCTCAATGACTTGGATTTTTGCGTTGTTAACCTCTATCCCTTTATATGACATCCGATGGCCGAGAATTATGCCTTCCTGGACCATGAAATGACATTTTTCCCAATTAGCCTCCTCACATCTTTTCAACACCATTTCCAAATTGGTCAAACATCCGTCAAATGAGGCCTCAAACAACCGTCTTTGATGCTCCACTGATGGTTTGAAATCATCCTCCATAAGGAATTTTTGCATGCATAATGAAGGACAAATTCCCTGAATGTTTGCAATAGTCTAACCAATGGCTTCCTTGTGTTCCCTCAACACCCCTTGTAACTACTCTTCCTCCAATTCACTTAAGAAATTAGCAATGATACCCAGAAGCATAGATGACTCTCCTGAATAAGCATACCTCAAATGAGAAGGAAGAGGCTTCAAATAAAGTATAGGTGCTTGCTGAAGAGATGGCAGTGGTAGTGAAGAGCTCTTTTCCAAGTCCTCATAATTTGGTGCCCTCTTGTAAGACTGGGAATGTGTAGCTTCCAAATAGTGTACCATATGCCCAACTTCAAAATCTTTCTCTTTGATAGCCAAAGGACATTCAAGACATGTTTCCAGAGGATCCTTAGAAAGCCTCTAAAGAGACTTGGCAACCACATGATTAATAATATCCACTCGAAGGCATGAATCGAATTCCGATGGATACTTGATTACCTTCAAGATATTGAATGTAACTTGTTCATCTTGGACTCTTAGAATGAGCTGCCCCTCTTGTACATCAATCAAAGCTCGGTCGGTGGTAAGAAATGGCCATCCTAAAATGATAAAGATGGCATGATCCTCTTCCATGTCAAGAATTATGAAATAGGCTGGAAATATGAATTTGTCCACCTTGACTAATACATCCTCAATGAAACCCCGAGAATATTTTATTGATCGATCAGCCAATTGCAATGACATGGTGGTGGCCTTGGCTTCTCCCAATCCCAGCTTCTTGAAAATAGACAGAGGCATCAAATTAATACTAGCACCAAAATCACATAAAGCTTTACTAAAATTTAAATCACCAATACTGCATGGAATAGTAAAACTCCCTGGATCTTTGATTTTCAGTCTAGCTTCTTTTGAAGGATGGCACTACACTCCTTCTTAGCATTACTGTCTCATATTTTTTAAGTTTTCTTTTGTTTGAAAAAATATCCTTCAAAAATTTGGCATAACTCGGCATTTGAGCTAATGCATCAGCAAATGGAATGTTTATGTATAGTTTCTCGAAGACCTCCAAAAAATTTCCAAACTGAGAATCCAATTTCTGTTTATGAAGCCTTTGTGAGAAGGGAATAGGAGCCACATAGGCCTTGACCAGTGTTGGAGCCTTTGATGTTGATGGCTTCAGTTCATCTCCAATCAATGTCTCATCCTTTGCATCAGATTCTTGCATAACCCCTTCTTCTTCAATAGGCACCTTGCCAGTTTGAGCTTTAGGGCATGTCACCGTGATTTCAGGTAATTGTACCCCACATCTAATTGTAATAGCTTATACATTCTCTCGTGGATTTGTTTCAGTATTGCTAGGCAATGCCCCTTGTTGCCTTTCGGAGAGAAGCTTAACAATTTGACCTACTTGACATTCCAAGTTTTTCAAAGAGGCATCATTGCATTCCAGATATTGCAATTGATGGTTTGCTAACTTAGCAATGGCATCTTCCCAACCTTTTTTTCTCTCGTGGCCTCGGGTTGAGCACATTTTGATTATTTCCATAAGAAAAGTTCGGATGATTTCTTCAATCGGGGTTATAAGTTTGCGAGTAAGAATTATACCCTTGGCGTTGAAAGTTTTGAGCATATGCCACTTGCTCTGTGGATGTCGAACCACTACCTATCAATGGGCAACTCAGGCTTAGGTGATTTGCTCCACAAATATCACAAATAGGCGGAGATTGTACCATATAAGCAGAATGAGAGCTAGAGGTAGATGTAGAAAGTCCTTCTACCTTCTTTGCTAGTGAGTCGATCTTTGCTAGAACCATTGAGAAAGCTTCACCATCTTGAACTCCACCAATTCCTCTTTGTAAACCTCTATCCGGCCACATAGCACTTTGCTCACTCATGACCTCAAATAGATAATATGCTTCTCGAATACTCTTCTTCTTGATTGAGCAATTAGATGATGAAGCTACATTTGAACGACAAGAAGAAATCAACTCGGCATAAAAATAATTCATTTGTTGTCCCATTGTGATATTAAGATTTGGACATTTTCAAAGTATATCCTTAAACCTCTCCCAGGCCTCATAAAAACTCTCAAATTCGGATTGTTGGAAAGTGGTTATGTCATGCTTGAGTTTGGCTACTCGGGCAGGTGGAAAGAATTTGGTTGTGAATTTTTGAATAAATTCCAACCAACTATTTATACTTCCAGTTGGAGAATAAAAAGATATCTTAAAAGCAGCAAATGCACGTTTCTTAGTACAGTTTGGAAGATGTTCTGCATCTTCCTCAACCCCCATCTTCTCTTTGAGTTAAAGTAAATCATCGCTGTCGGGGCTGCTTGTTAAAACTTAACAAGGATCAAGAACTACTTGTAATATATTTTATATATGCACTCACTCATACAAGCACACACTCTTACTCGAACAATCAAATTAATACACATTCACAAAATAGAGGATGACGGTAGAATAGACAATTTATACCTCCTCGTCCATGAAGGTAACCTCCACGTTCTCCTACAATCTCTTGCATCTATACATATCAACCACCCGAATGAGGAATTCAAGATCCCTATCGGGGGAATGTTATCACAAAACTCCTAAATTTTTCAAATTGCCAGTTACATACAGGAATTTTTAAGACTCGAGAATGCAAAGTGGAAGAACAAGTATGATTGAAGATTTCATATAAAACTCAATTGTTTTTTTTAAGGTAATCAAATATTTTATTAATCAATGCATAATACACAAGAAGTAAAGCAAATAAAAGTAATCATATAAAACTTAATTGTACTAACTGAAATTACAAAAGACACTTCCATTTATAATCTCATTGTATGCACTCAGTGTCTATCCTTTCATTCCTTTTCCTTTGATCACGTATACAGTCTCTCTCTTCCTAGAAGATGAGAATTGAATGGTGTCTCGTCTATTAAGGGTGTCTGGTGACTAGCTTCTCAAGTAGGTGGCTTGGTAAGCAAGCTACCTTCAGCATCGGTAAAATCCTTGTCAACAATAGGTCAAAATGGTGGGGAAGGGAAGAATCTATAAACGGCCGAACTAACCATAACTTGAGGGAGAAAGGATTAAAAAAAAGGCTAGCTAATCTAATGAGCGTAAGCCCAAAAGATAAAAGGAAGTTTGGATTGGTTGGGTCAAGAATCCCTTTACTTTTTTTTTCCGAAGCACAAAGAAAATATTTTGTTGCGAATGAACAAGATATTGAGAAATTGTTCGTATGTAAAATCATGATAATAGATACAGGCCTTTTCCATGGACAAGTTTGGATTCGGTATGGATAAAAGAACTTCCTATGTCATACTATTCAAGCTTATATAGGAAAGGAATTCAAAGGCAAATGGTTTCCTAGGAAGGAGAAAGTGGTTGGTCGACTAGTTATAGGACTAAGTCGAAGCGCAAGTATGAGACCGGGATAGAGGACTCTCTATCATCTCCATCATCCTAACAGCCATGTTGATGATAGTCTCCAATAGCATTATCCTCAAAAATTGCAGGGGACTAAGCTAAAAAAAACTCATGAAAGCACCAAAGAAAACAGGCTAAAATATTTTGGCTTCAAATGCAACTTAATTTCAAAACGCATCCAGTTGATATAGCTTAATCTAAGCAATGTCACATAGTCATTTTCAATCTTGATAGAAAAGCCACTATTTTAGTATCTAGCTTCTATTAAGTAGACAAAGGCTAAGCTGAAAATTCCTGCAACACAACAATAATCTCTACCCTTTGAAGCTCCAAAGGAGTTTAAAATCTCATTACTGGATAAAAAGAAAAGCTTTTTCTAGTTATTTTCCTTTTTATAAGAAGCCTTTAAAGGATCCCGGCTTTATTGCTCGTCCAAATGGTGCATACAAATAAAACGAAAAGTAATTTAGGAACATAATCAATTAAAAATTCTCTAATTTTGACATAACGAAGATGCCAAATTCACCAAAAAGAATAATATTTTCACTATTCATAACCTACAATCTCGTACGATATTCACCATATGTAGATCATAAAGGAAAAAGGATTCACTAACCTTGGCGACCATATGTTGAAAAGCAATTTCTTCGTCATCTACTCTATCATTTCCCTTTCCCATTGTCTTAGCTGCACGTGATTTGATAATGGATTTTCATATAAATAGAGCACTTGAAAACATACTCACAGGAACAATAACCTATCGTTGGGATCCGTAAGGTTTGTGTACTCTCAAACTTCTTTCCTTGCCATTTCCTCGTATTCGAACTCAGCAATTCGGCTTATTTCATGTACTTGAATCACAACTTCAACTTCCCTGTGATTCAATAACGAATAAAATGCTTACGGTAATCTCGATTTGGCCTTTGTTTGTTTCCTATACTTTTTTTTAGTAACAACGCATTTTGAAATAGTTAATGGGTGAAGAATGTGTGATTAAAAATTAAGGGTAATTAGCACAAAACGTCCCTACCTTTCGTTTTTTGACGCATTTCATCCCTATCTTTACCTTTTCTTGTGGAAAATATCCTTTTCACCATTTTTCTCAATAAAAAGTTATAAAATAACTAATATACCCTTTTATTTAAATTTTAAAAAAAATAAAGAACTAATTACAATCATAGTTCCAATTTTTAAAAAAATTCAAAAGAGGAGGTGGAGGTGGAGAATTTATTTATTTTTTTATTTGGAACTACGATTGTATTTAGTTCTTTATTTTTTTATTTAAATAGAAGGGTATATTAGTCATTTTATAGCTTTTATTGAGAAAAATGATGAAAATGATGTTTTGCACAAGAAAAGGTAAAGGTAGGGATGAAATGTGCCAAAAAATGAAAGGTATGGACATTTTCCACAAAAATCATGAAAGGTAGGGACATTTTGTGCTAATAACCCAAAAATTAATAAGAAAGAAATTTAGCTTTGTATGTAATATTATTTTATTAAAAAATGTATGTTTGAACAGAAGAGAGAGAGAAAAATATATTCTGAGAAAAAAGAGTATCAAACAAGGGCTTGACATTGGAAATTGGAATTGCCGTTAGGGTTTACTTTTCTTTTCCATTAGGCCATTGTAATTGGAGAAATTATTGGAAGCTGACCTGGCCATCTATTGAAATGGCCATTGACCATTATTAAAAAAAATATTTAAAACTTTAAAAAATAATAATGTCTCATTTATTGACACGAACCATCTCAAATCACCCTATGGACTCAACGCGTGTCATGCATCAATGGTAGATACCAACTAAGCGTCGGACTCAGCATCAAGACAACCTAAACCTATTTGGCTATGATGAATTTATAAAAAAAAAATTGACATAGTTTTCTTCTGAAATATGAACTAAAACCACCTGAACAAAATCTAATTTTCTCAAATCAGTACATATAATATAAAACAGGGTACACCAGCCCTCAAAATACTAACTATTCAAAATAAAGTGCATAGAAATGGAATTTACACTTCTGAACAAGTCAAAAGACTCTAAAGACCCAATATAATAAAAAAATTGTCAATTATGCAATGAACCCATGATATGGATACATTTTTTGACAAAAATGCATGCATCCCAAAATATGAATTGTCTAAACTAATAAAATAAGTCATACATCTAATGACAATGTATGGTTAACTCAATAGATCAATAGGCTTCAGTGCTGCTCAACTCAGTTACTATCTGATAAGAAAAATGGTGATAAAATATATGACCTAGTAGCTCAGTGAGTGGATATTCACAAATAAGTATACTTTTTCCATTTATGCTTAAGTTCTGAAAATTATTACTCTATCAAAATTTCAAGAAATTCTGAAATCTAGTAACACTTTTTCAAACTATAACACAAATGTATCATAAAATGCTTTGTCTTTTATTCTAGATAAGTAGCTGCAAAGAATAACGAATATAAATAATCTGATATCTAAGAAAATCTATGAAATATTATTGTTGGTCAATATTATAAATTGAAAGCTTTATTCTAAGAATTGAATAAACTAAATTCTATAATCTGAAATCTGATAAGATGTAGAAATATTGAAAAATCACACAAGAAATGTACCCGAAATAACTTTACTCATGTATTGATTAGTACTGATGTACATGGTTGTTGGAAAATACGGATAATGGGTCGCCCATGTGGGGTGACCCGACCAGCGGGATTTTAAAAGGGTTGGAGGAAGTAGTTTAAATTCTAAATTAAAACCTATAACTCCCAAGTAACCACTTGAAATTTTCATATAGAAGTTATG